GCTTGGCACTTATGACCCGGCCAGTCGGGACTCAGTGTCTGTGCAGATGACAGTGCTTGCCTCTAGCCAGTGCCAATGGAAAGACTCATCTCAGATTCAAAGGATTTATTCATTTACTTCTTTATTTTTGAGACAGAGTCTCACTGTGTAGACCAGGCTGGACTTGAACTCATAGAGATCTTCCTGCCTCTGCCTCCCAGTGCTGGGATTGAAGGTGTGTCGCCAATGCAAGAGTTGTTAAAATCATAATTTAATTTTATGTATATGACTGTTGTGCCTGCATGTAGGTCCGTCCATGCACCACTTTCTTGCCTGGTGCCTGTGGAGATGAGAAGGTGCCAGGTTCCCCGGAGTCAGTGTTTCAGGTGATTGTGAGTGACCATGTGGGTGTTGGGAATGGAACTCAGTAGCAGCCAGTGGTTTTGTTTGTTTGTTTGTTTGTTTTTGTTTCTGTTTTTTGAGACAGGGTTTCTGTGTGTAACAGTCCTGGCTGTCCTGGAACTCGCTTTGTAGACCAGGCTGGCCTCGAACTCGCTGTGAGATCTGCCTGCCTCTGTCTCCCGAGTGCTGGGATTAAAGGCGTGCGCCACCACCAGGCTTAACCGCTGAGCCGTCTCTCCTGTGCGCTCTCTCTTTTTAAAAAAGTCATTTATTTTATTTTATGTATGTCTGTGAACTTTTTGTCTTCATGTGTGTGCCTAGTGCCTTTGGCGGCCAGAAGAGGGCCTTGGGTCCCTTGGAATGATATTTGCAGGCAGGTGTGAGCTGCTCTGTAGGTGCGGGGAACCAAACCCTGGTCCTCTGCAAGAGCAGTAAGCACTGTTAACTGCTGAGCCGTCTCTGCAGCGCCCACCCCAAGCCCTTTTTACGATGATCACCCTTTGTCATCCTGAGACTGACTTGGTCTCTTGCTGCTTTCCTGGTTGCTGAAACAGCGCCCGGCAGAAGCAGCTCCCGGGCCGTTGTTTCGGCTCGCAGCTTCAGTGGGGGGTGCAGCCAGGCTGATGGCAGCAAAGGCTTTTCGTGTCTCAGTGGATCAAGAAAGCAGAGCCAGACTGGAACTGGAGGCTGGATATCCTTGAAGACCTGTCTTTGGAGGCCTGTGTTAGCCAGGCAGACCTCATGTCCCAAAGGATCCACAGCCTCCCAAAACAGTGCCACTGGCTGGGGACCAGGTGCTTACACCATGTGCTGTGAGGGACATTCTACAACCCAACCACAGCGGCGCTCACTGTGCACCACAGCCTCTGTCCTTGACAGGTGAAGTGTCCAGGCTGTGTGGTCAAGCCTGGCCCAGGAGATGCTGTGCTGCTCGGGAGAGGCTTGGGAGGGGTCCAGCTGGAGGCCTGGGTCCCTGACTGTCAAACGCTGTCTTTTCTCATGAGATGAAGGAGCAGGTCTGTTCCTCCATGCACTTCTATGTCACTCTGCCTTAAGACAAGTCCAGAAACAATAATGACAGCTGAGAGCTGGCCGTGGGCTGGAACTTCTGAGACTGTGAGATAGAATAAGTGTTTCTTCTTCTTTTCCCCCTCCCCCCTCATCCCTCCTCCTCCTCCTCCTCCTCCTCCTCCTCCTCCTCATTTTTTGAGACAGCGTTTCTCTGTGTAGCACTGACTGTCCTGGAATTAGCTCTGTAGACCAGGCGGCCTCGAAATCAGAGCTCCGCCTGCCTCTGCCTCCTGAGTGCTGGGACTAAAGGCGTGCGCCACCACCGTCCAGCTAAACCTTTCTTCTTTTATTTTTCTCAGGAATTTTGTCACAGCAACAAAAACCCAACCACTACAGTCTGTTGATTTTTCTTTTTAAAATTACAACTTTTTGTGTGTGTTTACCGCCCTGTTGTATGAAGATCAGAGGACCAACTTATGGGAGGCGGTTCTCTCCATCCGCTGTGTGGCCCCCAGGGATTGAACTCAGGTCCTCAGGCTTGGAGGCAAGCACCTTTACCCACTGAGCCCTCTCTCTGGCCTTGACTTGTCTTTTTTCCTCATTTTTATTGCTTCTTAGTAGCCGGAAGAGGAGATGAGGTTCTTTCAACCCAGGCAAGTGGCTCAGGACAGTTTTGTCATCTCCAGTGGAGTCCCCTGTCTCTGCTAGGACCGTGAGGACAAAGCCCCTCAGTGGCTTATACGTCAGACAGTTATTTTTGTGGTTTATCAGACAAACGTTGAATGAAAGCTGGTCAGTGGGTATGTATAATCCATGGTGCGAAACAGTTATGTGGGACTGTCACAGAGTAGGAGATTTTGAAAATGTTCCATATTATCACCTCCTTCGTCTTCTTCAGTCAAAGATTCCTCAACACGTTTCTCTGCCTCCTTCCTTATATCTTTAGAAACAACTTATGTCTTCCTTTGTTGTCAGACTTTCTTTTGGGACCACCAGCTCCCGAATAATGACACAGAGAGTTTTTACTGATTATGAAAGCGTGGCCTTTAGTTTAGCCTTGTCCTCAACTAGCTCTTATAACTTCAATTAACTTGTTTCTATTAATCTACATTCTGCCACGTGGCTCTTTACCTCTCCATACTGTACATCCTACTTCCTTAGTGTCTCCTTGGTGTCTCTGCCTCTCTTCATCCCAGAGTTCCTATCACTGCCCAGAAGTCCCGCCTCTTCTTTCCTGCCTAGCTATTGGCTCTTCAGCTCTTTATTAAACCAATCAGGTACCTTAGGCAGGCAAGATGAAACAGCAACACATCTTTACACAGTGTGATACAATATCCCACAACATTCCTTTAGTTAATTTACCAGTCCAGCTGAGCGCTAGTTCAAGAGCTTGACCTTTAACCTTATCACATGATGTCAGTTATCCTTTAACTCCATCGTGGCAGGTTGTTTCTTTGGTCTGAAGCCATTCTACTCTGTCTTTGCCGATGGCACAGCCCCGATAACCATATGAAATACTGGATGGGTCAGCCATATAGTGCTGTGTACCATCATTCACGCTGAAAGGCCCCCAACATGGAATTTGTCCAAAGGTCTAAGAACACTGTAGTGTGTACACGCATGTATATGCTGGCTGTTCTGTCTGTGAGATGTTCTAGAGGATTCTTACAGCCAGAGTTAGATCTAAAGTTGGCAGTATCTTCACTTGTTATGTCTGCTAATGAATGAATATCTGCCAACAAACCTACATTATATATGAGTCCAGCATGTTGGTTAACAGTAAAAGTCATTTGTTGGAGCCTTTTCCATGAAGTTTAGAAAGGACTAGCTTTTCTACGTTTAAGTTTTTCTACGTTTCTAAGTTTAGAAAGGACTCTCTTTACATCTGCTCCTAATAGCTGTACTGTTTCCCATGGCCTTCACGGCATACTCAACTTGAAACGTCTTCCATCAGGAGAGTGTAGAGGCCAGCCGACTGCACCCGCTACCATTGGAGTTCACAGTGCTGACTCACAGGCCTCAGAGGGCTTCCAGGTCTCAAGTGCCCTTCACAGTTCTGCGGACTAGACATCTAAGAAAAAGTCTTAGCAGGTTGGTCTCTTCAGAGGCCTCTCTCCTTAGTCATTTTCTCCATGTCTTCACATGGTCTTCCTGGACTTGCTCTGTATCCAAATTTCCTCAGCAATCATATGGGATTAGAGCTGACTCTAATGACTTTTTAATTCAGTTATCAATTATTAAAGACCCTATATCCAAATGTAGCCATTTTCTGAAATACTAGAAGTTAGGACGTCAACATATGAGTCTGAGGGGAAGATTCCATTCAATCTCTGACAGCCAGGATTGAACAGATTTGCAGACATTATTCTATTACTGCAGGACCAAGAGCAGCCTCACCCACAGGGCTTTGGGGGCAAGGAGCACTTTCTGTAAGTCAGCAGCTCCCTTCCCGAACCCAGGGAAAGTGAGCAACTTAGATGGCTCCCCCAGGACTGCTTGTGTTAAGAGTGTTAGTGTTGGGTTGGGGATTTAACTCAGTGGTACCCTGGGTTTGATCCTCAGCTCAAAAAAAAAAAAAAAGTGTTAGTGTTGCTAGGCGGTGGTGGCGCACGCCTTTAATCCCAGCACTCGGGAAGCAGAGCCAGGTGGATCTCTGTGAGTTCAAGGCCACACTGGTCTACAGAGCGAGTTCCAGGACAGGCACTAAAACTACATAGAGAAACCCTGTCTCGAAAAACCAAAAGTGGCTTGTTTGGGGGGGGAGGGTAATAGGAGTCCATTAATCACCCTTTTCCTGAGCCCTCAACCCTGTTACAGAGTTAATCACTTAACTGTCTATTTCTCTGAGACCACATAGGTCCCGCTAGCAAAGCTTGGAACCTGGGAAATAGGTCAGAATGTAAGTAGGCTCCCCTTTAGGGGAAAAGCAGGAAAGGTAGATATGTAGATGCATCATTTCTCCTTCCTAGCCGCTATTGTTTCCTAAGTCAGTCAGGAAGAGGCCAGGGGTGTACTACACTTTTTATTTATTTTTATGTGCATGGGTGTTTTGCCTTCATGTATGTATGGGTGAGGATGTTGAGTCCCCTGGAATTGGAGTTACAGACAGCAGTGAGCTGCTATGTGGGTGCTAAGAATTGAACCCGGGTCCTCTGGAAGAGTAGTCAGTGCTTTTTTTTTAGATTACAGGTGTGCACCACCATGCCTAGCTTTTTTTTTTTTTTAAGCCAGACTGGTGGTGCAAATTTGTAATATCAGTGCTGATGAGGTGGAGACAAGTGGAACCGTAGGACTTACCCAACAACCAGCCGAGGCCAGTCTGAGCGCCAGGTTCAGCGAGAGAGCCTGTTTTAAAAAATAACATGTCATGTGATTGAGGAAGACACCCAAGGGTCCCCTTTGGCCTCCTCGTGTGCCTACACACACACACACACACACACACACACACACACACACACACACACACACGAACATGCACACACAAAGAAACACAGAATCTAGCCGTTTGTAATATTCTCTCCATGCTGTCTCTGTTAGGACTCCTGTCCTTCTGACTTTGTGTAGGTAAGGAGAAGAGCAACTCTCCATGTTTTCTTTTCTCCTTACAGGATTCTGGAGTGAGAATGACAAGGAGAGCCCTCCAAGAGAAAGGCTTGAAAACAGAGCCCCTCAGGAGGCTTCTTCCCAGGAGAGGCCTCCGGACAAATGCTCGCTCTACTTCCTCGGTGCCAGACACCAGAGCTCCGGGAGGTGGGAGCAAGGCCCAGAGGGCACCCAGGACGATACCACAGGGGAAGGGGAGGTGAGCGGGCCCATCCCACAAGGTGAGGCCCTTAGGTCTTCTTTAGCTGCCCCAAGATCCAGTCACCTACTCGCACCACGTAAGGGTGGAGAGAGCTTCGGAGCTGGACGCCTACTGCGTGTACTTGGAGGTAGGCGGCCAGCTCTCCACTTGTCCCTGACCCTAAATCATGGATCCATCTTGCTTGTTGTGGGTCCAAAACTGTGGTGCTTGGGGCAGGTCACAGACAAGGAGCGTCTGAGGACGCTGCTGGGTGATGCCTAGAAGCAACTTGAATATACGAAAGAACGGATGCCGGGCCGACTTGGCCACCTCTTCCTGCACCAGGGCAGCTACTCACCAAAGGCCAGGCATGGCCCCCAGGGAGGCACCTTCGACCTTCGGAACCACAGGATCTACCCTGGTGAGCAGTGAGCAGTGTCTGAAGCATCGGGCAACAGGTGCTAGGTGCTCCCTTGCGGAGTCTGTGATTGGTGTCATAATTCATGCTTGTGTAGGAGTATGCCCGTGTGTAGAGATACCACTCCAACAAACACCTGAGCTACCCTCCCTCCACAGGCCTCTGGACACTAGGCCTGCCAATTAACCTTTGGCTGGAGAAGACACATGCCAACCTTGCCTGTCAAGCGAGGGGCACACATGGTCTAATGACCTTTCAGATCAGGCTCTGCCTCCTGCTGTAGGACCCAAGTCCAGGAATGGATGGAGACTTGTGGTCCAGTCCCAAGCCTGGAAACTACCCATTTGAGTGGTTCCAAGGGCTTTCATCAACCTCTTGCCTCCTGACTTAACGGTGTGCTGGGCCTGCCATGCCGGGAAATGTCTCCCACTTTTGAGGGCTTACTAACTACATACTGCAATTTTGTGGGAGTTGTTTAATACACCATTCCTGTGTCATAGATCCTGTTACTTTTACATTTTACAGATATGGAAACTAAATAGCCAAGCGGTTGAAGAGCTTACCCTAAGTCATGCAGCCTGCCTGTGGCAGAACCAGCTACCTGCCTGACCCCACAGTTCCTGCTAGTATACCACTTCTTGTGCTGGGCATGCTGCTGGGGCTGAAGCTGTGACTTGTTAAAGCATTCATTTAAGGAACATCCATTTTTCTCAGTGGAAAACTATATAGGACTTTAAAATTTTTTAATATTTTTTATTTATTTATTTTTTGTCTCACTATGCAGCCTTTGCTGGCCTGGAACTCACTTGCCCAGGCTGGCCTCGAACTCACAGAGATCCGCCTGCCTCTGCCTCCCGAGTGCTGGGGTTAAAGGTGTGCCATCACCACCACCCAGCTCAGGACATTTTTTTCTAATATAATAAAATGAGCAGATGCTCTGTGGGAGGAAAGTGAACTTTGTGTCCATAACGGAGATGACGTTGAAGTTCTGTTGTAAGGCTAGTAATTCCAGCTCGGCCCCTGGATCCCTGAGTGACCTCTCTAGAATGCTACTGATGCAGGAAGAGTATTCCAGGCCCACATGCTATCCTCTTGAGTGACTGAAGAGCTTCAAGTGACAAAGGTTATTAATTAAGACTTCTGAATTTCCAGTGGGGCAGAAGTTTTCAAATTTCCAACAGATACTAATTTTCAGGATTTGAAAATGAAAAATAGGAGTTCTAGGGAGGTCTAGAAAATCATGCTTTATATTTTTCATAACTCTGTGTACTTTAAAAACTAAGAAACTCATTTAGTAGTAGTTTAAAAGAGCTTGTGGACGATAGCGGTGCTTGACTTTAATCCCGGCACTTGGGGCAGAGGCAGGAGGATCTCTGTGAGTTCTAGGACAGTCAAGGCTACACATAGAAACCCTGTCTCAAAAAACAAAAACAAACAGAAAGAACTCTAAGCCTTAAATACTCAAAAGGTAGAAACCGCCAGTGTGTGTCACTGGGTAGTATTTGAATAACAAAATGTTTACAGATACAATTCGATTTATAGTACTCCACAATCATGAGTTGAAATTGCTGATGTAAAAACTAGGTTACAAATATATAATTTCTCCAAACATCCTGGGATTTCTATAAAATATACTATGCATGAGGCACATTCATGTTTATCTTATTTGTAAGAATCACTCAACAGGAGAAGGAGCACCAATGCATTTTAATGTCGGGGACCACAGGAGAGCGAGTGGACTGGACCGTGACACTCCCTTCCAGTTACGGGCTCCCAAATCCCAAGGGTAGCTACCTTGACTTGCTGTTAGTTTTCCGGTCCCTGCTCTGTGAGCTGACACAGTGGCTCCTCCGAGCCAGGACTCTGCTCTTGAACCTCAGTTATTAGAGGGCCGTTAGTTAGGTATGTTCCCTCTTTTCCCAGTTTATTTCCTGATTGTTTTTGAGATTAAAACAAAACCCCTCAGGTTTCCCAGTGAGCGTCATCAAGGATTTTGAATAGAAACACCCCTGTGGGCTGAGCAGGAATGATGTATGCGAGTGCTTATGAAGCCCAGGCATCGGAACTGTGTGGAGTCGAACGCTCCAGCTCTGCCCATGCCTGCCTGTGAGGCCTTGGCTGAACCTCTTACCTCTTTGAGCTTCAATTTAGTGGGTAGAATCATATCTAGGAAGCAATATTGTTGCTTCATAAGGTAATATTGTAGAAAGGTTACCAGCACGGCTTTGGAGTCAGGCAGGCTGCGGTTCAGATCCTAGCTTCATGATTTCCTACCTCTTTGATTTGGGGCAAGTTCTAACCACTGGATTTTTCTCTTCTGTAAAATAGGGACCCGGGATCTATTTCACAGGGCTTTGGTAAGTTTAAGTGAGATCACATATGAACTGCTTTACTCAGAGCAGGGTACACTGTACATGCTTGATCCATGTGGGCCAGTATAGTCGTTATTACCCACTGTATCTACCTCACAGGGCCAGTTGTGAGGGTGAAGGGTGGAGGAGAAGGCTGCGGGTACTTACTAAGCTGTGAAGTGCTATTAACTTGCCAGTCTTTCCTCTGGAGACGGGAGATAGGAAGTTACCATCAGACATTAATAGAATGCCCAGGAAGAGGGACTGGTATGCTTCTGGCCATGCAGTGTGGCTAGGCTTAAGGGGTGGTGCCACTATGGGTAAGTGGAGAACTGGGTGCAGCATGCCCTCACGTGAGGGTTACTGCAGTCAAGTGGGGACATTCAATGCGTATGACTTTTACCCTTGGGAACAGGGAGAAAACAGGTTCGGTTTTAAGGATGCTAGCAGAGGGAAATAGAGTGTTTGCCTAGCGTGAGCAAGGGCCATGGGTTTCATATCTAGCACCTCAGGAAAACACAAACAAAATACCCTCTTCTTGGTTAAAGGTTTTGGATAAAGAACAGTGCTAAATGGATGTATCCACAGTGTTTTTAAGTAGGACTGGAATTGCAGGAAGGACCATGTGAGAAAGTGCTGAGAGGTGATTGGAGTGCACATTTAGGAAATGTTTCCACGGGCTGGAAGCCATGCACCCTCCTACCATGAGTGCACATGTCATTGGGCAGAGTGCCGTTCTGAGGGCCCTCCAAAGACGACATCACGCGATCCTGCCCTCCCAAGACGATGTCACATGATCCTGGCCATAGCCCCACAAAGTAAACCCTCAGATCAGAGCTGGGAGTCTGGGAAAGTTAAGTCCAATGCCCATGCTCGCACAGGTTCTGTCTGCACAGGATCCAAGCCTTTCTCCTGCACTGAGCTCCTCCACCCTCAGCATCAGACTGCTGATCCTGAACAAGGATGGAGTGCGGAAGAGTAAGGTCCCTCCCCTCGGTCCCTCCCCTCCTGGCTTCAGCAGCAACTCTTGCTCCTGATCTCACTCCTCCATCTCCAGACTTGGCTTCCCTATTCATTCCTTATTCAGGGTCTTCTGGGCACCATCCTTAGACTTCCTCTAACCCAGGGAAGGAGCTCTCATTCTAACCAGACTGCCTCTCCGAACTGAGCTCCTTGCCTGTTTGGTGTCTAGGTTCCCAGCTCATTCAGCAGCATTCCCTCAATGCGTCTCTGCTGAGTTCCCATTCCTAACCACGGCCCTTCAGTTTCAAACTGATGTGGCAAGTGGGCAGTCTAGGGCTCCTTTACAGTCAGTGCCTCTTGGGTAAACTCTTGGGACTAAAGGTTAACTGCAGGCTGTGTTTTCTGAGAGTTGCCAACCGGTTGGAGATGAACTTAGAGAGTGGGATTCACCTTCTCCCCAGCCAGCTGGTCACTGAGGGCCCAGTGCTTGCCAGATTCAGTAACCGGAGCAGGTGACACATTCATGAGCAGAACAGACCCAAGCCCTGGCTTCAGGAAGCCTCCGGGCAACTAGGGAAGATAGACTGGCATTCAGTTCTCCCTGAATACCAACTCTTAGCCTGGTGTGGTGGCACATACCTGTAATGCCAGCCCTTGGGAGGTGGAGTAGGAGGATCAGGAGTTCAAGGTTATGTTTGGCTACTTATCAAATTAGAGGCCAACCTGGGCTACATAAGACCCTGTCTCCAAAACAAACAAAATACACACTATGAAACTGTGACAAATACTGTGAAGAAAAAGTTGAGAGTTCTGTGAAAGAACATAGTGAATAAGTTAAGACAATGACAGTATGGGCCCACAGCATGGAGAAGAGAATTCTGTGGAAAGGCAATAACAGACCCTCAAAGGGAGAAAGCGCTTGCTGTGTTGGGGAGTGGCAATGCAGTCCGTGTCGCCGCCGGACCGACCCTGCCGGCTTCTGGGTGGGGATGGTGTCATAGACCTTGCAGACCATTTTGGTGTTTAGCTTTTGATTTGGAAACAGTTTTGAAGTTACAGAAAAGTTATGAGGATGACACAAAAGATGTCTGCATACTTTGACTGCACACTCCCCATTGTAAACGTCTCGTTCCGCCTGACCTATTGCCGGTGTCCACCTGTAATGTGTCCTCACATCTTGTAGTCTGAACTCTGAGAAGAAGTCGTGTACATCATGTCTGTCTACACTGAAAATACAGCGGCCGTGTCCTGCAGCAGTGCTGTCCTCGCTTCACTGAACGTCGTATCTCTGAGCAGACGCGGCGTCTCAAGGTCTCCCTGTCTGTCACTGGCTGTGTCTAATCACCTTCAGCAGCTCTTCCCCTTAGGACAGAATCAAGTCTACGAATGATGTGGCGCACACGTGGTGGTTTCTTGCTTGTATCTTTTATTGTGGCATAGACTTTCTTTCCTTTGTTCGAATAGACAGTTTCTCCTTTTGGGTCCGTCTGCTCTTTCTGTTATTGTGTGTGTGCTGTGTATTCAGGGTTGGAAGAATGTGTAAGTGATCCTCCTCAGTGTCACAATGAAGGCACACAGGATCTCTTCCTCTGAGGATATTAAAAAAAAAATGGTTTTTGAGACAGTGTCTCTCAATGTAGCCCTGGATGTCCTTGAGCTCCTTCTATAGACTCAAACTAAGCTGCCTCTGCGGCCTCCCAAGTGCTGGGATTAGAGGCGTGCAATCTACACTTTTTTTTTTTTTTTTTTTTTTTGAGACAGGGTCTCACTACATAGCTCTGGCTGACCTGGAACTCACTCTGCAGGCCAGGCTGGCCTCAAACTCACAAAGATCCACCTGCCTCTGCCTCCAGAGTGCTGGGATCAAAAGCATGCAGCACTACGCCCAGCTAGCAATATAAAGTTTTTTGTTTTTTTTTTGTTTTTCGAGACAGGGTTTCTGTGTAGCTTTGCGCCGTTCCTGGATCTGGCTCTGTAGACCAGGCTGGCCTTGAACTCACAAAGATCCGCCTGGCTCTGCCTCCCGAGTGCTGGGATTAAAGGCGTGCGCCACCACCGCCTGGCATAAAGTTTTTTAAAATTTGTTTTTAGGGCTGAAGAGTTGGCTCAATGGTTAGGAGCACTGGCTTCTCTTCCTGGGGTCCCAGGTCCATTTTCGGAATTTACATGGCATCTTGCAACCCCCTGTAACTCCAGTCCCGGGAGATCTGATGCCCTCTTCTGGCCTCGGAGGGAACAGCATCCACTGCTGCACAGACATACATGAAGGGAAAACACCTATACACATAAAACAAAACAAAAAACGAAAACCTGGAATTTCATTCCAACTTCATTGCAGTAATGAAGTGGCATGATTCAGTTTGTGTATCAGACCATCCTGAATGCTATGGGAAAATGATCTGGAGCCAAGGCAATAAGAATCCAAAGGGGGTGGACTGGGACTTTTGAGGCGTTCCCTCAGTGAGGTGTACGGAGGAGTGGGGCAGGAGATGGCAATAGGTCTGTGGAGACAGATCACAGGGGCCTTGACTACCAGGCCACTGAGGCATGATCAGCAGGCCACTGGGTGGCAGGGTGATCTGAGTTTTAGAGGGATTGTTCTGCCAACCCGGAAATATGATTTGGAAGGCCTCAGTGCTGTTTCAACCTTTCTAAAGCAGCTGTTTGTTACCACTGAGGATTCCGGTATGGTTCCCATGCCTGACCATCTCCTTGTGCATGAGTGTACAATGGTAATCCTAACACCTGTCTCACCTGTGCTTGACCAGGCAATATGTTAGCAAACACCTCTCTCCTGGCCTCATTTGGGCCAACACCATGCCACACAATCTCCCCTCACACTGTGGGAAATGAGTCCAAGTCTGCCTGGAACATCTTCTTAGAAGCTGGTGCATAGGGAAGTCACAGTCTTGCCTGTGGAGTGGTCACAGCCATGGCAGAAATTTTGAGAGACTAGAGAAAGCCAGACGCTGTGAAATCTGAGCAAGGCAAGGTTGCTTCAAGTGGGAAAAATCTGGGCAGGTCTACAGAGAAGGTGGCCAGCGACCTGAGCCTTGAGTGCAGAGAACACGATTATCTGTCTCACAAAAGAAGTATTTAATCATTCAGTAAATAAGAGGAAAAATTTTAAAAGCTAAGCCCAAATCTTCATATGTCATTGACATTTTCAAACATGACTGTTGGTGGTTTCATGATACTCCATATAATAATCCATACTTAACTCCCATTGTTGAAATAATTCATTCTGGGCAGCATGACCTTGTCTAGGCACCAAGGACAGAAACAACTTTGGGAACCAGATGCAATTTAAGAATCAGAGCTCAAGGGGCCGGAGAGATGGGTTAGCAGTTAAGAGTACTGACTGCGCTTCCCAAGGATTCAGCTTCAATTCCCGGTGCCCACACGGTGGGTCACAACTGTCTGTAACTCACGAATGTGGTACATGGGCATACATGCAGGCAAAACACCAATACACATAAAATAAATAAAAGTTAAAAAAAAAAAAGAACCAGAGCTTGTTTGAGCTTGAGTTCAAATTCTAGGGAGAACAGGATATGTACCAGGCCCTGGGGTGTGCTGGGTATTGGGGTGTAGTCCCTGTCCTGTGAGTCTAGTGGGACTCATAAATGGAAAGACAGAGTTATACAGCATCATGGAGAGGACCACCACGGAGGCCATCAGAGGACCAGCCCCATGTGCACATGGCTAAACGTATCTCTGTCCGAAGACAGAAAACACGCCCATCTACTTCTAGGTTGCTGGTTATTTGTTTTCTATTTCAGTATCCTTTTCTCCCATTTTGGGGGAACTATTGATATATTCCAAAATCTCAACACCATTCTTACTTAATTCCTTAAAAATTTACTTTTATGGTTGTGCTGTTGTTATTGTTGTTTTGTTTTTCAACAGGGTTTCTCTATGTAACTCCTGCTGTCCTGGAACTCTCTGTGTAGCCCAGGCTGGCCTCGAACTCAAGAGATCTGCCTGCCTCTGCCTCCTGAGTGCTGGGATCAAAGGTGTGTGCCGCCTGGCTAAGATTTATCCTTATAGGGCTGGAGAAATGACTCAGCAGTTAAAAGCACTTTCTGCTCTTCCAGAGGACTCATGTTGGGTTCCTAGCACCCACATCAGGCAATTTGCAAACACCTGTAACACCTCAAAGGGACTCAGCACCCTCTCTGGCCTCTGAAAGTCACCTGTGCAACACATATGGCATACACACACATACACACACACACATACACACACACACACACACACACACACACACACACACACACACAAAGAAAAGTAATAAATCTTTACAAAATAATTTTTTAAATAACTTGTTTCTTGACTTACTTATGTTCTAAGGATCTCTCTATATCTATATCTCTATATCTATCTATGTATCTATCTATCTATATCTATCTATCTATCTATCTATCATCTATCTATCTATCTATCTATATATATATATATATATATATATATATATATATATATACAGAGAGAGAGGTACATGCCTTAAACAAGGTGGAAGCTGAGTGATTCTGAGGTTGTTCTTTGCCCTCTCCATGCCCACAACAGCATAGGAATGCCCACACTTGCCCACACAGCCATTAATTAACTAGTTAAAAAAGCTAAACTCCTTCAAGCTAATTACATGTATGAATTGGTTACAACCTAAGGCTCTAAAGACAAAGAGCATGGAGATTTAAATCCAAGCTCCACTATTTATTAACTTAGATGCTTTTCCATGAAAAGGAAACATTGACATTTTAACTAATTTAATTTAATTTTATCTGCATTGCTGTTTTGCCTGTATGTATATCTGTGTAAGGGTGGTGGATCCTGGAGGTACAGACAGCTATGTGGGTCCTGGCAATTGAACCCAGGTCCTCTGGAAGAGCAGTTAGTGCTCTTAACCACTGAGCCATCGCTCCAGCCCTGACATTGACATTTTAATTGAATGATACAGTGGATGTAAATCCTTACAGTACTTCCTGGTGAGTGCTCAATTAGGCTAAAATTTGCCACTGTGGTCATTGTTATGTTGCCTGGTTGACCTGTATTGACACCGAGGCCTCTGGAACAGAAGAAGAAAATGTCTTTAGCCCACCTACCCCCTTTTTGAGACAGGGTCTCTCTGTGTAGCTCTGGTTGTTCTGGAACACTCTATGTAGACCAGGCTGACCTGAAACTCACTGAGATACACTTGTCTCTGCCTCATGAGTTCTGGGATTAAAAGGTGTGCACCACCACACCTGGCTCAAAGATTGTGGCTGGTCACTCAGAGCAGCCAAAAGGAGAAAACCATAACATGTCTATCAGCAGGTATGTTAACTGACATAATAAGGAATGTGCATATAATGGGATATTTTTTCAGTCTTAAAAGAGAACAAAATTCTGGTATAAGATGGATGAACTCTGAAAACATTATGTGACATGAAATAGGTCAGACAAAAGATTGCAGAGATGACTCAGTGCGAGCACTGGGTGCTCTTCCAGAGACGCGGGGGGTTTTGTTTGTTTGTTTTGTTTTGTTTTTTTCCAGACAGGGTTTCTCTGTGTAGCCCCCTGGCTGTCCTGGATCTCACTTTGTAGACCAGGCTGGCCTCAAACTCACTTAGATCCACCTCCTCTGTCTCCCAAGTGCTGGGATTAAAGGCATGCACCACCACCACCCCAGTAAGATAAACTAAAAAAGACAAATATAACTCCACTTATATTAGACACCTAGAATAAGCAAGTTCAGAGACATAAACTAGAACAAAGGTAACCAGAAAAGAGTAGGAAGCGTAACCGGGAGTTATGTTTTAATTACTGTGGATTGAGTTTATTTGTAAAGCTCCTGAATGGACAGTGAGGACAGTACAACATTGTAAGTATATGTAGCATATATCACATATACCTTACATTTAACGTGTGCCTGTGCCTGCTGTGGCGCACGTGTGGAGGTCAGAGGACAACTTTCAGGAGTCAGTTCTCACCTTCTACAATGTGGGTCTTGGGGATCAAACTCAGACCCTCAGACTTGGCAGCCAGTGCCTTTCCCCCCTGAGCCACTATGCCACCCGGTAAATATGTATGTTTATTTACAGTGTTTGTTTTGGGACCGGTTCTTCCTACGTAGCTCTAGCTGGGCTTGAATTTTGGCCCTCCCTCCTGGGATTACAAGTGTGAGCCCCTATATCTGACTTATAAATGCATTTAGTACCATGGAATTTTGCATTTAAAAGGATTTGGTAAATTTCTCTTTTAAAAAAAATTCCAAGCTGGGGGAGGCAGAGGCAGGTGGATCTCTGTGAGCTCCAGAACAGCCTGGTCTACACGGTGAGTTCCAGGACAGACTCCAAAGCTACATAGAGAAACCCTGTCTCGGAAAAAAAAAAAAAAATCAAGCTGGCTATAGTGGTGGATGGCATTAATTCCAGCCCTCCAGAGACAGAGGGAGGGGGAGGGGGATCTCTGTGAATTAAAGACTAGACTGGTCCACATAATG